GCACCACCCTTTGACAGAGAACATCTGTATTGAATTAATCAATCCAACACGTAAATAAGGTTGGAAGGACTGAAAGCCATTGGATGAAATGAGATGATGCTATGCAGGAAATGCCTTAAGTCTGGTTGAATAGTCAATCATGTTTCTTGACAAAAACAGTAGATCAGAAATTCTAACAGCAAGCCCACCAGGAGATAGAAAAGCTTCAGCCAAGCCCCTGAGAAGGAGCTGTTTGGGGGTGAAGAGAGCCTTTCTCTCTCCCCAAATCTTTGACCAGAGGTTGAGTTTGTGAACTTCAAAGGGTCAGATGACGTGGCATTCATCCCATGACAAGTGGCCACAGAGAAGCCAAGGTTAATGGCAACAGAAAAGAAAAGGACTTCTGCATGTCGTCTTCCCCATTGGAATGTAAGCTCCTTGAGGACAGGGGTGGGTTTTTACCTTTCTTTGCATCCTCCAACCCTCAACATAGTGCCTGGCTGACTGACTTCCAAAATTCAGGAGATAGGAGTTTACCTCTTTGCTACATGAGCTCTCCAAGCTTGATTCCATTTGGGTATCAAGTGGACTCTGTATGGTACTTGGGGGAAAGTGTGTCTCAGACTCTTGGGAGGAATGTATGTACCCACTGCCCACTGTCTTAGTAAATATCTGTTCTAAAAAATGACTAATTGATATGAACTGATAATAGGGAAGCACACTGATGGGGGCTTATAAATGAAAACACACACCAGTTTCTTGGAGTTTACCCTAGAAATCTGAGGGGATAAGCATTTAGCTGACCTCTGGGAGCCTGACCTGTTAAGCTGAATTGGCTTGAAAGAATGAGCCCAAAGCTTCTAAACCATCCTACGGTCTCTAAGATTGTATATAAATATAAATCTGTGGTTTTTAAATATTCTTGTGATATATGATCCCTGGCCTAATTGAACTCAGGGTTCCAGGCTTCCTCAAGAGCCAGCTGAACTTCTCACTCAGCACTCCTCCATAGCTAAGTAGGGTTAGACAGCTAGAGACTGTGGGTGGCCTAAAGGAGAAAGACCAGAAGATTCCACAGACCATCGGGGCAAAAAGTTGTTGTACCAGCCCAGCATCTTCCCGAGGGCCTGAGGTGTTTCCCACTCAGAATATCAGATGACTCACACTAATAGTTATTGGGAAAGAAACAGGACTGATATCCTAGAAGTATGAGCCTGGCTACTCCCCAGACAAAGACAAGAGACCCGGGTCCCTCCCATCCCACTCCACTCTCTGGGAAATTTCCCATGCGATATCCTTCCAGCAGCCCTGGATGAAAACCCCAACTGCTCAAAGATTATGCAAGCATGGGATAACAAAAGAGCCAAACGCCGGCTTTGGGTGAGGGTGAATCTAGGCCAGAATAAACTACAAAGACAATCTGAAAATGACTTGTAAGATCCTGAGCTATCTACCAACCTGTAAATTTGTATATCACCTGTGCCTTACACCACCCTGGCTCTCTCCATGGCTCCCTATTGCCTTAAGGTTAAACTTCCTTAGTCTGTCATCCAAGCCCTCCAGCTATTTCTAGGTTAACCCTTCCAGGATTATTTAACCCTATGTCCCTATGACACAAGCTAGGCGCCACAGTGGATAGAGCACCAGGCCTAGAGTCACAAAGACCTGAGTTCAAGTCTGACCTCAGACACTTACTAGCTGTGTGACCCTGGGCAAGTCCTGTCACCCTGTTTTGCCTTGGTTTCCTCATCTGTAAAATGTCCTCACCTTCTAGCTCAAGAGCTAAGACTCATCTCTGTCTTAAAATCAGAACCGATGCCAATTTTGGATATGATAACTTCAGGTCTGACTATACTTTCTCTTTCAGACACTGCAAGGGAGGGGGAGATTTCCACCTACATAAACACTCAGAGCTTCTCAAGGCTCTGACAAAGTACCCCAATTTAATAACTAGCTAGCACTTACATAGTGCTTTAAGGTTTACAAAGCACTTTACAGATATTATCTCATTTTTAATCTCACTACAACCCTGAGAGGTAGGTGCCCTCATTTTACAGATAAGGAAACTGAGTCAGAGAGAATTTAAGTGACTTGCCCAGGGTCACATAGCTAGTAAATCTCTGAAGCTGGATTTGAAATCAAGTCTTCCTGGGTGGAGCAGGCAGCTAGGTGGTGCAGTGGATAGAACTCCAGGCCTGGATCAGGAAAATCTGAGTTCAAATCTAGCCTCAGGCACTTAGTAGCTGTGGGACCCTGGATAAGTCACTTAAACTCCCTCTAACTCAGTTTCCTTATCTATAAAAACGAGCCAGAGAAGGAAGTGGCGTAACACTCCGGGGTCTTTGCCAAGAAAATGCCCAATGGGGTCACAAAGAGCCTGACACTAAGTGAACAACAAAAACTTTCTCATTCCTCGTTGCCTCAGTCCTCCAATTTCTCCCTAATGATCTATTTAAATCCCAAAGAAATGCAAGAAGAAACTGGCAGTAATTATTCAAATCCCCCTAAGCTACTTCAAATCACACTTAAAATGGAGGAAATGGGAAGGACAAAGGTCCAGAGGGAGTTGTGGACTCCACCGGGGAGCAACCTCAGAAGGAAGGAAGAAGTAAAGATGGCGCACCCCTAGCTGTCACAGCTACATTTCTTCCCCCAGGGAAAAAAATTGCATTCCCTGCAACTGACACCAAATTTCGGCTACGATGCGATACTCACCTATACTTCATTCACGTATCTATTGCGTGATGAATCACATACAACACCATGGATGCATGGTGGATGCCCAAGGAGTAACTTGTACAGGCAACTGGTCACTTGTGGGCCATCCTCCTTTGAAAGCAGCACCCTAAAAAAATAAAAAATGTCTAAAAAATTTTAAAAAAAAGAAAGCAGCATGCTGCCCAGTGGCTTGTAAATGCCACCTGCACCCTACCCTAGCATCATCCCTGGTCATTCCCCCTGGGGCACTGTACCTTAGTCTTGTTTTGGTACAGACCCTCCAGGCCCTGGGAATCATAGGCTCATAGATTTGGAGCAGGAAGGGACCTTAGTGACCCCTATTTTACAGAAGAGGCCATGCCCAAGGTCACATAGCCAGTGAAGGGCGAAGTGGGGGATGAGAACCCAAGTCACCTGATTTTGAACCAAAATGGGGATAACGCTGTGTGCGTTCGCTGTCTCCCAGGGTGCTCGTCAGAATCAAATGAGATGATGTAGGGAAGGCATGTTGCAAACCCTGAAGCGCTCCACAAACGTCAGCTATCCTTTTTGTCAGTAGTATTAACAATGACAGTAATAACAACAGCAGGATAAAACTAATGTCCTCTTTATATCCGGTGCCATGGATGCCTTCAGGGAGTCTACAGAGGATGAGTTGTCATCCTAATTGTTTTAGTCAACTGTAAAAAAGTGGTGATTTGATCCACCTGTGCAGTAACAGTCCATAAAACACTGAACATCAAGGAATACCACCGGTAGAAAATGGATTTCTCCCAGGGCTGTTTCTATCTGAGCCCCATTGGAAAGATGAGTAGAATGAGACAATGATGATGCCCAAATAATTGATCCAACAACATTGCCTGAGGCAGCATAGCTTAGTGGATAGAGAGTTGCGATGGCAGCTAGGAAGCCTGGGATTCGAGTCCTGCCTCCGCACGTGTGTATCTGCATGACCAGGAGCCACTCAGCCTCTGAGGGACCCCCAGGCAGGTCCCTAAGAATTATAGAGCAGGTGCCAATGTACACACCCCACGAGGAGTCCCCTGTAGAGAAAGGGGTATTTAATGAGGATTGGCAATTGCATAAATTTTGTAACTCAGTAACGAGCAAACACACATATTCATCCAGATATAACTTCTGGAAGAGAATAGAGGAGAAGGGAAAGGAGAAATAGGAGGGGGAAGGGAGAAGAGGAGAGGCGAAGGGAGGGGAAAGATTATATCCCTTAGTCCTATCCACCATTTCTGTCCCAGAAATGTGATCTTATGTACAGATCAGGTTTTCAAAAACTAGAGGCAGCTGCACATAGTAGCCTAGATTTCAATAAACCCAAAGACTCCAAATCCTGGGCTAAGGATTCACTATTAGATAAAAACTGCTAGAAAAACCATAATGCAGAAATTAGTTTTGATCAACTTCTCACACCATACACCAAATTCCAAAAAGATACAGGACTTATATTTAATGGTTATATCATACAAACTAGGGGAGCATAGAAGGAAATGCCTTTCTCAACTATCACTAGGGGAAGAGTTCTTGACCAAAAAAATGACAAAGAAGATCAAAGAAGACAAAATGAATGATTTTGATGACATAAAATGCAAAAAGTTTTGTACAAACAAAATCAGTGCAATGAAAATGAGAAGAGAAGCAGTTAAAAAGAAAAAAGTTTGCATCATCTTCGATAAAGGTGTAAGATTCAAAACATGTAGGGAATCAATACTATTCACAAATAGATACATAGCTAAAAGATATGAATATTATATATATGCATATATGTCAAAGGATATGAATGGGCAGTTCTCAAAAGGAGAAAAACTAGCTACAAACAACCATATGAAAATTTTAAAATGAATTAAAAACGAACCATATGAAAAATACTAACCACTAATAAAAGAAATAAAAATTAAAACGACTTTAAGGTTCTACCTCACACCTATTAGATTGACAAAGATGGCCAAAAAGGAAAATAACAATTTTTGGAGGGAATATGGGAAGAAGAGTGTACTAATATACTGTTGGTGGAGCTGTAAATTGGTTCAGCCATTCTGGGAAGCATTTTGAACTATGCTCAGAAAAGGCCCTAATCTCTGCCCATCATTTCACAGAGATACCACTATTAGGTATGTACCTCCTAAAGACTTCAAAGAAAGAAGGAAAGGATTCATATGCACCCACACACACAAAAACACACACACACAACTATTTTTGTTGTAGCAAAGACCTGGAAACAAAGCGAGGCCCATCGACTGAGCTGAACAAATCATGTTACATGAATGTAATGGAATATTATTGTGCTATAGGAAAAAAAGTGATGAAAGTGTTCCTGGAAACTCAGAAGAGCTCGAATGAACAGATGCAGAGTGAAACGAGCCAAACCTGGAGAACAATGCGTCCAGTGACTCCACCAGGGGTAGGAAACCTGGGGCCTCGAGGCCATGCATGGTCCTCTAGGTCCTCAAGTGCGGCCCTTCGACTGAATCCAAACTTCACAGAACAAATCTTTTAAATACGACACCGGGTAACTGGAAACAGCCGTGAAGAACTCTAGCCAAGGAGCTGAATAACTGCACTCCGAGGAAAGATGAGGAATGAGGATGCCTCCCGGCAGGCAGGGGATGGCCCAGAAGCATGTGGGTTTGCTTTGCTTAACTCTATTTGCTAGGAGGCCTTGAATGGAGAATCAGACATCGGCCTTGGCCACAAGGACTTCACAGGAGCGGGCTGGGGGAAGTGTCGGGGCAGAAGCCTCTTTGGAAGGGGCCAGGGGAGAGCGAATAGAAGGTCAGGAAGCGGAAGCCAGGAAGAAGGGAGCCCTTTCAATCCCTCTGGGAGGAAGAAGCAGGACAGATGTGGCAGTAGTTGGATGGACCCGAAGAGATGAAGGAAGGTGACATCCTGTTAATTATTTTTTATATTGTACCATTTGTGTAGCACCAACTGTGTGCCAGGCACCGTGCTAACCGCGTGTGATCCTCACAACAGCCCTGAGAGGATGGTGCTGTTATTATCAGCCCCATTTTACAGTTGAGGAAACTGAGGCAAATGGAAGTTAAGTAACTTCACACAGCTAGTTAGTATCTGCGGCTAGATTTGAACTCAAGGCTTCCCGAGTCCAGGCCCAGTGCTCTAGCTGTGGTGCCACCTAGAGACCTCCAAAAACCTTGGCGCCTTTGCCTGGGCCACCTGCTTGGAAAACATCTCCTGACTTGTAGACACTGGGCTCAAACTGCCGAGGCAGCTAGATGGTGCGGCGGCTAGAACGCTAGTCTTGGAGCCAGTAAGAACTGAGTTCAAGTCTCAGCACTATCAGGCTGGATGACCCTGGGCAATTCACTCAGGCTCTTCACCTGTTTCAAAAAAAAAGACATAATAATAGCACCTGCCTCCCAGGGTTCAAATAATGCATGATTGTTAACATATTAGGTATTACGTGTCATATATAATTATAATTGATATAAAATACAATGTGAGGTTCAAATAATACATAATTATCAATATAGAATTCATTATTGATTAATATAGAATTAATATAGACTATAACGTGAGGTTCAAATGACACATTAAGTATCCTTTTCTGTATTTTATCTTCGCAGATTCTCCACTCCGCATCTGCTGCCCCGCCTGGTTCAGCTCTGCCCCCACTCCCCCTCCCTCTTCCCTGCCTCCTTTCGTGGCCCCCCATTAGATTACAAGCTTCTTTAGGGACTTTCTTTTTATTCATCGCATCCCAGCACTTAGGACAGTTCCTGGCACGCGGTAGGCACCTAAAACACATCTATTGGGCTGGATTAGATAACGCGGCCATGTCTGGCGAAGCTTAAGGCACCGCAGAGGGGAGCAGGGGCCGGTGGGGCGGGTGGGGTGAGGACCGACCCCCTCTGCCAGGTATCTCCCAAGCTGAAGCAAGCGCACCTTGAGCCAGCAGGTGGCGACAAGTCCCCTGTGGCTGCAGGACCACCCCCACCGTCCGCAGACTGGGAGGAGCCAAGCCAAAACGTTTCAGGAGAGCCTGCGTAGGACGGACCCGACCCGAGGAGCCCAAGCACGCCTGTCCGCCTGCGGGGCCTCGCTGGCCTTCTCGCTGCCTCTCACGCATGGCGCACCAGCTGCCCGCCCAGGCTGCCCCTCCACCTTCACCTTTCTTCCAAGGCCCAGCCCAATCAGCCCCTGCCCCACGAAGCCTTTCCCGAACTCCCCTGCCCCAGCCCACGGTGCCTCCCCTACAAAGACTGAACCCGTATCTCTTGTGCATTTTGTATTCTGTACTCCTGCATGTTGTCTCCACCCTACAATCTCTCCAGCCTCGTGGGCAGGAGCCCACCTTTGCAGCTCCAGCCCGGCCCTGCCCTCGCCCTACAGGAGAGACTTGCACCTGGGCCAGTGAAGTCCCGGGCCTGAGCACCTGTGCCTTCCCTACCTCCTCCTCGCCTGTTCCCAGGCCCCCCGCCACCACCCTTGGGGTCCATGCACAACAATAGAGTGCCCCCCAGAGATCCTAGGTATAGACGCCTGGGGCTGGGGGAGAGCCTGTTCCCACGGCAGACATCCCCGAAGAGGGGCAGCTCTCTCTGGGATGGTCTGGCACCCCAAGACTGGTTTCCATTATGGGCAGATCCTACACCTCTTTATTTTACAGTTGAGAAAACTGAGGCTCAGAGATGTTAAGTGCCCTGCTGATCGTACGTGCCAGGGCCAGAAGTGTCACTCAGGTCCTTGGACTCCAGATTATACTGTGTGCCCAAGGGGAGCAGAGGCCTCAAAGCCCAGGATGGTTCTTCTCCCCAGGCCCATGAGGCTCCAGTGTCCCCCTTTAGACCCCAGGCCTTCTGCTGGGAAAAGGTCTAAGGTCAGCAAAGGGGTCAAATAAAACCTGCCCTCTGCATGTCACTTCAGTCATCTGATAACATCCAGAGCTGGACCGTCTTCCCCACACAGAACTGCCATCCCTCTGCCCCCTTGTCCCCAAGCACCGTAAACACACACACACACACACACACACACACACACACACACACACACACACCACCTCCATCCACAAAATCAGAACACACAGCTAGAAATTGGGATGGGATTTTTATTCTGAAGTCAAAGGCACGGCCTGGGCCGGCTGAGGCAGTGACCAGATAAGCATTGTGGGAGCTCCCCCCCACCAGCCCAGCAACACCCCCCCACACCCTTGCCAGCACCCCTTCCCCCAGGCCTGGGGCAGCTGCGCAAAAGCAGGAGGAGGGGGTGTCAGAGAGCAGGCCCCCTCCCCCACTGTCCCTCAGTTATTCCACAAGGGAGGCCCACACAGCCCAGTGGGGGAGGGGGGCAATAGGGGAAGGCCCAGCTGGGAGGTCTGGGATAAGGAGGGGACAGTCAGCTCACAGTGACGCTCAGCACCCCCTCTCCCTACCCAGGGGTGCAGCGGCTTCCACGAGACTTTGAGTCTTTGGTGGAGAGAATTGCACAGACGCCCCATAAAGTGACAGTTTTGGACTCAGGGCTGACATCCCCTTCCTGACAACAGGGTCCCCCCGCTGGCCTGCTCCCCAAAGCAGGCAGGGAAGGGGGAGCCCCAGTCCTCACTATGGCCACTCAGCTCAGTGCTTCAAGAAATGGGAAGGAGGGAGAGAGGCAGGCCTGAGCTCATCAGACAGAAAGGCCTCCCCTGCCCCTCTCTCAGGCCCAGGCCTGGCTGGCTGCAGGCCAAGCTGAAAAGGAGCGAGGCGGAGAAGGGCAGAGCTCGTCACGCCTTGCCCAGCCCCCCGGCTCTGCAGCTGCCACCACACCAGGAAACACTGGCGAGGGAGACAGAGGCAAGAGTGGGGAGGACGGAAGGCCCCCCCCACCCCACCCCCTCAGCTCCCCTCAGAATCCCTGCATCACTAACTCTACCTGGAAAGACATAAAAAAAGTTCTCTGTTTATAAAAATACTTCTGTCTCAGTCTCTGGGGGAGGTGGGGGGGGGCTTAGAGGGGGAAGGAACAGAGACTGGGGGTGGGAGGGCCCTCAGGGGCAAGACGGATTGGAGGGTGCGAGGATGTCAAGGAGGGAGGGGCAGGGATGTGCCCGGGAGGAAATGGGGGAGGGGGCCAGGGCAGAGACGAGCCTCTCCCTCCATGCGGCTCCCCCAGCCCCAATCTCCTCCGCCGGGCTCACAGTTTCCCTCCCCATAGGGCTGATCACCTCTCCAAGACCAGGGTCACAATGGCCCCTGGCTCAGGCAGCCTTCCTCACCCAGCCCCTGCCCAGCCCCACTAGGAGGGAGACAAAGGGCCTTTGGCTCGGCGAGAAGCCCCCTTGGCAGGCGGGGCCCCTCGTCCCTGGGTGGAGGGGGCAGAGGCCGGGGGAGGGGCAGGGGAGCCCTTCCGGGCTGGCTTGGAGCTGCCTAGCTTCATCTTCCTACGTTTGGCCAGGGGGGCGTTCTCCACGCTCTTCAGAAAGAAGCCCTCCCTCTTGCCTCGGTTGAAGGCCTAGGAGAGAAGGGTAGGAGACCAGAGACGAGTCAGGCGTCCTAGACCAGGCTGTACCCTCGTCCCCAGCCACCTGCCTCCTGGCCACCCGCTGCCTGGAGGCCAGGCAGCCCTTTACATCCCCTTTTCCCCTCACTTCCTCCTTTCACATCCCTCCTCCCCTCCTTCAGGCCAAAAATAACGGGAGACCACAACTGAAACAAATGGTTTCTCATCCAACATGGCGGCAGCCCTCCACACTTCCTGTCCCATGGGGGTAACTTCATCACAAACATTCTCCAAAGAGAAAAAGATGTCATTCCTGGGAACCAGACGGGGCATCCAGGCCTGAGCTCTGGCCCTGACTCCACACACCATGTGTGACCTTAGGCTGGCCACTTCCTTCCTCTCCCTAGGCCCCAGCTTTCCCATGTGCAGAAAAAAGGAGAGATGATCTCTGAGTTCTCTTCCGGCTCTGAGCTTCTGAGATCTCAAGGAAGAGGAGAAAAGCAAGGGGGGATTTGACTTCCCGGGTCAGGATCTGCAAACTCTGGGACCGATGGAGCTACAGAACATCAGCAAGAATGACAAAGAACCGAAGGCCTCCCTTCAGAAAAGCCGCTACATCCGTGTTTACACCAACACCAAGCTACAGTTTGACTCCTAGAGTAGAGAACGAAAGGACTGGTGGAATGGAGTGGTGTGTTGGTAAATGTTTAACAACCGACTCTCCAAAAAAACTACCGTGACACCCTTTTAAGCTTAATTTGCATTATCAACGTTTTCGCCTTCATTTTTTTAAATCTATACAACCAACAAAACAATAAATCAAGCCCTGATTTGTAACATTTGCTGATTTCCAAAGTATGATTCCCAAGTATGTAACATTTGCTGATTTCCAAGTATGATCACAACGAATGCTGAACAAAACTGGTTCTCATAAACTGCCATTTGGTACAAGCTGGCTCTAACATAGCCCTGGTGGAACACCTATTTTATGATAATAACAACAATAACAACAGCTAACATTTATACAGTGCTCACTACCTGATCCTCACAATAACCCTAGGAGGTAGGTACTATTATTATCCCCATTTTATAGACAAGGAAACTGAGGCAAACAGAGGCAAAGTGACTTGCCCAGAGTCACACAGCTAGTAAATTTCTGAGGCCAAATTTGAACTCAGGTCTTCCCGACTGTAGGGCTGGTACTCTATCCACTGTGGTGAAATCTTGTTGACAATGAGATATTCCTCGACAGAATGGAAGAAATGTGAATGGATCGAGTGAGATAATATATATAAATTGCTATGTGAACCGTAAAATGCTATATAAATTTTATATAAATGTTAGCACTGAATATGTTAATAAAAACACTCCTACTGATCCATGCGAGGTCAAATTATACCCTTAAAAGAAACCTCAGCATAATCAACTGACTCTGGTAAATTTGCTGAAATTTGAGGCAAGAAAACATAGCCCTTAGACCAGGTTTTGTTCATGGCTGTTAAGTGAAGGGAGGGGCTTCCAGAGAAAAATTCAGGCAGTGAGCAGCTGGCTAAAAAGAGGGAATCTGCATGGGACTGAGATTCCTAGACCCCGGTTTAAAGTATAACAATGATAAGCTCTTGGCCAGGGGCAGAGTATCCGTAATGAGGGCGGGAAATAGTATTTCCTTGGAATCTTAAAAATCCGACCAAGAGGTTTTAAACTGGAAACAGAAGGGAGCAAAGCATTGCTCACACATGTACGAGCCAACCCCAATACAAAGGAGAATGGCAAACACAAAATAGGAAGGACAGAAGGAGAAAAGACCATTAATTCACAGTAACAATACTCAAGAGTAAAACCCACAGCTTCAGATGCCTACACACAAATGCACAACGCAAGGCATTAGCAGGGTGAACCACACCCCGAGAAGGCAAAGAGGCAAATTTGACCGAGCCTTGGAGAGATGGGATGCCTGCCTGCAATGGATGGAAGAGAAGACATTGTTGAAACGACAGACATCTTATCCAACCCAGGAAACTATGGGGTGAAGCGTGGAGGAGAATCAGGTAAAGATCAACGGAGGTAGAAAGAGAAGTAATATTGTCATGGAGCAGACTACAGACCAGTGGTCCAGAAAGAGGAATCAGACCACAAGCTTGACACAGACGCATGATATTACAATGATGGAGACTTCAACCCTCTTGACAGAGGCTGGGTGCTCCCCAGCTAAAGGCAGAGAGGCAGATCAATTCCTAACTTGCCTTAATGACAGTCTCCTTCTTCAAAAGGGACAGGAAGCAAGAAGAGGAAGTGTGACTCTGGACCTGAGTCTCACCAGCAAGGAGGAACTGGAAGCTCAAAAAGAAATGATGGGAATCTGAGGGGCCAAGGACCCCTCCATCCGAGAGTCTGTGATAGAGAAGGAAGAGAAACCTGGGCAGAGCTGAAGAGCTCAGCCGAGTATGGGGAAGGGCAGCTTGCTAACGGTACAGAGAAAGAAGGCAGAATCCCAAGCCAGGAGGGACAGAAGGCTCTCAACAATGGAATTCTGAAAACCCAAACAGGTACAATGCTGATGAGAGAGAAAGGTCAACAAGCATTTACTAAGCATGTACTATGTTCTAAAAACTGGGGGAATATTTCACGTTTGAGTCTATGTGTCCCAAGAAACCAATGTAGATTCCCAGGAACAATTATCAATTTAGTTTTCAGTTTTTTGTTTTGTTTTTTAAAGACAGATAGGGATGGAAGCCAGGCAAAAAATTAAGGATCAACCAATCAAAATACAGCTATTAAGCTCCTACTGTGTGCTAGGCAAAGATACAAAAATGAAACCATCCCTGCCCAATTCCAAACTAAAAGAAAGATCACAAAGAAAGACAGAAACCACTGCTTGGAGATGCTGGGGTGGTGCTAATGAGCAACAGAGGCAGAACCTAGAGTAAGAAGCTTATTTTCTTCTGTTTTTCTCAAACAAACGGTTAACTGGGTTAATTGAGATCCAATGCACATTAAGTAAGCAGGAAATCAGAACCCAAGGCCATAGGAAGGGAGCCCTGAGCTGCCAGAGATGTTGCTCTAGTCCCTAGGTCCAGGTAAACAACAGTGCTCTTTGAAAGGGTGTGGAAAGTGGGAGAGATACTGTGGGACCAGAGCAGGGACAAACATCCTCATTTTCAAAAAACAGAGTCTACAAACTGTTAGTTTCATTCCCATGAAAACTTTATAACATATTACTAGAAGGATGGTGTGTGAGCATTTAGAAAGGGAAGCAGTGATCCCAAAGAACCAATCTGCTTCATCAATAACAGCACAGGCTAGACTGCTCACAGTAAATGTAGCTCCCCCAGATTTCAGCCAAACATTTAACCAAGTACCTCACGCAATCCTCAAGGACAAAATGCAAAGACAGGGGCTAGGTGGTATAGATAAGTGTGTTCAGAACTGGACGCCTAACTAAACTCTAAGAGTAAGAAATGGGCGATGCCAACTTGGAAGGAGGTTTCCAGTGGAATACCCCAGGAAACCATCCTTGGACCATGAGATTTAACCTTTCAATGACATAACCAATGACACATTTATCACTTTAGCAGAGAACACAATCCTGGCAGGCACAGATAACAAACTAGATGAAAGATGATTCAGAGCCCAAAGGTGTCTCAATAGGCTGGAACCCTGGGACAAATCAAATTAGATAAAATGTAACAGACTGAAATGGAAAATCTTGGGGTCCAAAAAGCAAATTCACAAGTAAAGGGAGATAGATGTGAGTAAGTCAGAGTTCATGTGGAAAACACCCAAGCTTTTTAGTGGGCTCCAAGTTCAATGAATCAGCAGGCTACCAGAGGAAGTAACAACGTTAACGGCTGCTTTAAGAAAGGAGGAGCATCTAGGACCAGAGGGGAATACCACTGACTTTTCCACTCTGTTTGGGCCATATCTGGGGCATGACGCTCATTGGCCACACTCACAGAAAAGGACAAGGACATGTCCAGAGAAGAGCAACCAGCATTGTGAAGGGTTTCAAGACCATGCCGTATATGGATCAATGGGAGAAAGACATCAAGTTTATCTGGGAGGAGACTGAGGGGACACAAGAGAGATGCCTCCAAGCCTTTCCGGGGTGTCCTGTAGAAGAGCAAAGAAACAGGGGCAAGGGAGGGAGGAGGGGAAGGCGTAGAGACCAAAAGATAGTCAGCTGCCTTGGGAGGTAGTGAGATGCCCATTAGTGGAGGTCTCCCAGGAGAAGACCACGTGATCCAGAAGTCGGACAAGCACTTTCCAGGGATGCATGGGCTGGTCTAGGTGGCCTCTGAGGTCCTTTCCCACTCTGAGATTCTCAGATGCTGTATAACACCCCTCAGCCCCCAGACACACACACACACTCACCACCTCACTAGCCTTGCCCTCTACCCTTGAACTCCACCCCTTTTTTCTGGAGCTCCCTCACCATAAAAGTGGCATTGACCCCGGAGCGCACGGCGGGCCCAGCAGACTCTAACACATCTGGGGTCCTGAGGGGAGGGGAGGAGCGGGCACTGCCATCCTGCAGCCAGGTGCTGTCCCGGAGGTCAGCCAGTTTCAGCCGCTTGGCAGGGTCCACCGTCAGCAGTCCTAGGGAGAGGGGATGAGGGTCACTGTTGGGAAAAAAGGGAGTTGGGGCACGGGTGAGGTGGGGCAAGGGCCTGGGGGGGGAAGCCTTGTCTCTGCCCTAGAGGACCCTACAGTCTCCCCCACCTTTCCAGAGTCCCCCATGGGCTGCCTCAGCACAGACCCAGCCCACAGTCCCTGCCCCACCCACAGTCCCTGCCTCCTTCTGCCCCCACCCAGCATGCCCTGCTCTGTCCCCGAACCTCGGACCAGCTCCTTGGCCTCCTCTGAGACACCCTGCCAGGCCTCCCCATCCAGGGAAAACCGGCCCTCCCGGATTTTCCGCATGATCTCAGCTGCCTGGCTCTGTCCACCCCTGCCAGGGCCCCCCTGGAAGGGCACCTGCCCCGATAGCATCATGTACTGCAGGAGAGATGGAGTAAAAATAGGTCAGTTAGCCCTCCCCTCCTCTGAGGCCAAGGCCTGGACTGGCCTGAAACCAAACCCTGCATCCCAGAAATCTGATGATAGATAGCAATTATAGAGTGCCTACTGTGCGCTAGAGGCTTTACAAATATTAGCTCACTAGATTCTCACAACAACCCTTCTAGGTAGGTGCTATTCTTACTCCCATTTTACAGTTGAGGTTAAGTGACTTGCCCAGGGTCACTCAGTTAGTAAGTGTCTGAGGCTGGATTTGAACTCAGGTCTTCTTGACTCCAGGCCCAAAGCTCTATCCACTGGGCCACCTAACTGCCTCTGATGCCCCCTAATCCAACTCTAGTGTTGCAGGTGCCCCTCACCCTTTGCCCCTTGGCAGTGCCTCCATACCAGGATGACCCCAAGGCTCCAGAGGTCACAGGACTCATCATAGCCCTGGTGGGCAAGCAGCTCAGGGGCAGCGTACTGTAGGGTGAAGCAGGGGGTCTGCATGGGCCCTGCGGGGCTCTGAGGCCGCAGCCGGGCAAAGCCAAAATCGATAATCTTCACCGGGGCTCCAGGGGCTTCGTTAGCATACAGGATGTTCTGGTGGGTCAGGGAAAGGAGAAGGGGTCGGTGCAGGCTGCCAGTCATCACGAGGGTCCTTCTGGCTCTCCACGTTCTAAGGGCCCTCCCAAGCCTGCCATTCCAAGTTCTAGGTACCCTCCCAGCTCTGACATTCCATGTTCTAGGTGCCCCCCCAGCTCTGACATTCCATGTTCTAAGTGCCCTCTCAGCTTTAACTCTCCATGTTCTCAGGGCCCTCCCAGCTCTGACATTCCATGTTCTAGGTGCCCTCCCATCTCTGACATTCCATATTCTAGGCACCCTCCCAGCTCTGACATTCCATGTTTTCAGGGCCCTCCCAGCTCTGACTCTCCATGTTCTAAGGGACCTCCCAGCTCTGCCATTCCATGTTCTAAGGGCCCTCCTATATCTGACATTCCATGTTCTCAGGGCCCTCCCAGCTCTGACTCTCCATGTTCTAAGGGCTCTCCTTTTTCTGACATCTCAGGATCTGTGAAGGAGGGCAAGGTAAGGTGTTCAGTTCAAAGGAGTCCAAGATAGGGCAGGGTTCTTTGCTCCCCCATATCTCCAGCATGCTCTCAGAACCTTCTTCCCCTCCAAGGATGCCCCAGGGGTAGCTCAGCCTGGCTGGAAACCCAGCGGAGGCAAGGGGTCTCACCTCCGGCTTGAGGTCCCGGTGCACCACCCCAGCCTCTTCATGCATGTAGCTGACGGCGGACACGAGGCTGCGTAGAATCTGGCTGGCCTCCGATTCACTGAAATGCTGCTTTTTGCGGATATGCTCTAGCAGCTCCCCACCCCGCAGGAGCTCCAGCACCAGGTACGTGTGGTACTGGGAGGGAAGAGGAGAGGAGGCCGTGGGATCGGCTCCCAGCAGCACTGCCCCGTCCGTGTCCACTTCTCTCAGCCCCATCAGCTGCTCCGAGTACCGGCCCCTGCCTGAGGCTCCCGACTGGGCCCAGAGATGGAGGGAAGGGGGTCCCCTCTCAAGTGTCTGGTGCCCCGAGGACAGGAGCCTCTGAGGGATCCCTGGGCTTTCTGAAGCTGCCCACTCTTCCCATCGCCCCAGTGGCTAAGCCCTGGGACTCCCCCAGCATCAGCCTGGAAGTCTGGCTCCCTGCTCCAAGGAGGGCCTGTGAATGGCTGCTGGGAAGGCTCAGACGGCCCAGACCAGAGGGAGGCAGCGTTAGGCTGCTTGCTAGAGGCCCATTACTGAGTTCTGCTCTCCAGGGCCAAGCCTTCTTCCCCTTCTTCCACGCGGCGGCCCCCTGGACCAATTCATAGCCCCCCCAATGAGGCACCAGCAGCCCCTCCTCCCAATGGTCAGCTTCCTTTTCTTCACACTGCCAATGGGACGGGTGTGAGCTCGGTCCATGCCCTTGTCATCTCTCTTCTCCAGGGCCAACGTAACCCAGTTCCTCTGATCTCCCCTATCCTGGTATGGGCTAGCTCCCAGTCTTACCACCCCACCTGTCCTCAGCCAAAAGGGAAAGTGGGAAAGGAACTCTCCAAGGGGCTAGGGAAGCCAGCTGGCCACTGTTCCCAGACCCCACCTCGTCTCATTCTGTGGGCGTGGCGTGGCGGGGTCTCACCTGGTCATGATGGACTTCATGCAGTTTCACCACATTAGGGTGTGACTGGCAAAGCCTCAGGGCCGCTATCTCCCTCTGAGTGTTCACCTCCAGCCTAAAGGGTGGGGAAGGAATGGGGGGGGGCGGAGATGAGGCCATTTTAATTACTTGGCGTTAGTTTCATTTTATTTTAACTAATTATTCTAATTAAGTGAGAAGCAATGTGGAGACGTGAATTAAGAGCTGACCTAGGCATCAGGAAGACCTAAGCAAGTCACTCTCAGTGCCCTAGGCAACTTTCTGAGACTGTAAGGCCTTGCAAAGAAGATGGCAATCTACATTAGTAAGGGCACTTACTCACTGGGAGCTCTTTACATCAGTAAAATCATAGGTCCTAAAAGAAAATTGGAGCTAGCTAGGTGCTAAGTTCTCTTATTTCTATACTGCTAAAGGCTAAATTTAGTGCCCTAGGATAAAGCTCCAGTCACCCCACCCTAGTTACAACTCTGCCAAGCTGCCCTGCCCTGCTATGAAGACAACTGTCCTAAGGGCCCTTCCAGACCACCATCACCCCCCACATACCTGCGACTGAGGATCTTGACAGCAAACTCCTGCCCACTCTGATGCTGGCGACAGCGGCGGCACACTGAGAAGCTACCCTGGCCCAAGGCAGGCTCCCGGAGGTCTAGCTCATAGAGCTGGAAGAAGGAGGAGTCCTGGCGGGAGGAAGAAGGAGGCCAGTTCAGAGCTGCAGGCCCTGCAAACTTAAGACTCAGACACCTCCTGGGGCAGCCAGCTTCCCAAGGTCAAGGTCCCCTTCTGTCCATGTCATCCCCCCAGCTCTGTCCCATCCTCACTGGGCTTCAAGAGTCACAGGACATCAGAGCTGGACGGGACCCCAGAGCTCATCTATCCAACCCCCTCACTTTACAGAAGAGACGACTGAGGCCCACAGATAAGAAGTGATTTGTACAAGGTCAGAGGGCAAAGGAGTGACAGACCCAAGCCCAGGTTTCCTCTCAGCCCTAACTCAGAGAGAGAGAGAGAGAGAAAGAAAGAGGGAGAGACAGAGGGAGAGAGACAGAGACAGACAGAGACAGAGAGAGAAAGAGACAGAGACAGAGACAGAGGGAGAGAGACAGAGACAGACAGAGACAGAGAGAGAAAGAGACAGAGACAGAGAAAAAGAGAGAGAGAGAAAGAGAGACAGAGGGAGAGAAAGGAGAGAAAGAGGAAGGGAGGGGGTGAGGGAGAGACAGAGAAAAGAGGAGAGAGACAGAGATAGAGATAAGGGAGGGAGAGGGTGAGAAAGAAAGGCAGCAGGTGGGAACACAAGGTCAGCAGATCTGGAGTCAGAGCCTGGGCACTTATGCGCTCCCTGGGTGATCCAAGCCTTGCCCCACTCGTCTCACCTGCAGCACCAGGGCTGGGTCCAGGCCCCACCGCACCCTTTCCACCTTGGCCCCCTAGGGATCCTGTCCTGCCTGATGGAGTCCCCCTCCCCCCTGCCATTTCTGTCCTGGGCCCCCATCCTTCCCGTCACCAAGGCTCCAAAACTCCGTCATCCCTGGCTCCTTGTCCCCCTCACTCCACATTTGGAATCAAACACCACACATTGTGAATTGTCTCCAAAATGTCTCTCGCTTCCAGTCCCTTTTCTCCCACCATCCTGCTCACCTCTCACCTGGACCCATGTAGCAGCATTAACACTTGGTCTCCCCCTCTCCCATCCGTCCTCCCCACAGCCCCAACATGATCTTCCTAAAATGACACTCCCCGCCTCAACAAGCCCCAGTGGCTCCCTACTGCCACCAGGATAAAAATGTAAACACCTATGGTTGGCAGTAAGGCCCTCCACAATCCAGCTGCAGGTGACCCTCGCCAGGACCATGCCTCATTATCCCCCTTCATACTCTCTGTTCCAACCACGCCAGGCTCCCTCCTGTTCCCCAGTGCAGTATCGCACCTCCAGCCTCCATGCACATGCGGGACGCCCTGCCTAGAAGGTGCTTTGTCCTCACCTCCACGTCCTGACACCCTGAGCTCCTTCCAACACTCAGCTCAAGGGCCCACTCCTGCAGAAGGCTTCTCCTGATCCCCCAGTTGTTAGCACAATCCCCCTACCTGGCCCCAGAAATGATTCTGCAAGGATGTTATAATTACCTGGGAATGGACTGTTTCCCCCAAATGTAAAACCCCTTGAGAACAGGACCTGATTCTTTCTGTCCTTGTACCCCAGTGCCTAGCACCATGCACCCCAGCACATAAAAAAGCTTAATACGTGTTTGCTGGATTTAATTTAAACCACAGCCCATGAAACACCCAAAGAGCTGCCTCCGTGTGTACGTACAGCAGTGTACCATACATACCAATATGCATGTTAATTCAAGGTGGTAGGTCTTGACTGTCATGAGGCATTGAAATTCACCCGGGGCCATCTCCTGCCCCTCTCCCCACGCATCACCACCAGGCATCGCCTGGGCCTGGCCTCTGCTCTCCCTGGACTGTCCCTCCCTCACAGCCTTCCTCCCAAGGAGATGCCAGCCCCGCTACCCAGGAGCGTTCCCCACCTGCATCATGGCGCTCCTGGCTACAGCCGCCCGGCCAGGTCGGTCCCCGCCCCCCGGCAGCTCCAGGACGTCAGTCATCACTGCATTGTTGCGGTCAAACAGAATGGAAGGGGCCACAAAGGAGTAACCCTGCAGAGAAAGGGGCAGCAGTGAAGGCAGGGAGGAGAGGCCGAAGTCATCGGCCATTGGCCCGGGGAGCCCCTCCCCAAGAAGACTGACCTGGAAGATGCGGGGGTCTCCAGGGGGCGGGCTGCCAGGGGGAGAATAGACGGGCTCCAGCCGGGTAAATTCCTCTGCAAAGTTACCCACATCCAGCTCTGAACGGATCTGGGGCCGGAATGGAGCTGGGACTTTCCTGGCAGCCAGAGCAACCCAATCCAGACCCTGGGGAGGGGAGATCGAAAGATCAAAGGTCACTGAATTACAGCCCCCTTCAAGGTGAAGGGCACTGCAGAGACCAAAACGTCCCCTCTAGAGCCAGACCAGGCCAGTGATATCCCTTCCAGAGTCAGACCAGGCCAG